ACCTGATCCAGGTAATCAACAGCAGTAAAAACAAAGATAGTTGGAAAACAAGCAGGTCTGCAGCTCCCTAGGACCAGGGTTGCCTACCCCTGGACTACACAATACAACCCCCCCCCCCCACCCCCCCCCCCCCCACCCCCCCACCTCCCAAAACAAGCAAACAAATGGGGGGTGGACAAGTCAGGGAGTGCGGGTATGGACCCCATTTCCGCATCCTGTGGCAACCTGCCACCAATTTTATTTGCACCTTAAACACTTCCATTGACGATATTCCACACAAACACACGCTTAGGGTCTTGGGAGTGAGCACATTCAAAGGCACTTGGCAGGGGAATTTCTCAGCCTCATCCCGAGTGCCGGTGCCCACTTCAAATTTTAAACTGCACATATGGGCCATTCCCATCTGTACCGGGTCAGCCCGGGCCGGGTAGCCCCAGTCGGCCCCAGCCTGGCCCGGTTGATTCCACACATCCTTGTCTTAAGCCCATGTGGGCTGATTCTACCCACCAATCAGAGGCTTGCTCTAATGGAAGGTGTGGATTTGCTGTCAGCAGTGGGTGTGTTGGCCCTGGTCGGCCTGAAGCAGACCCCCTCGAGAAGAGGGCTGAGAATGAGCCTTGGTTGGCCCGGAAAAATACCAGGCCACCCAGATATGTAAACAACCTAAACTACCCGGCCCGGGCCGACCCGGTACAGATGGGAATGGCCCATTAGACACCGAGGGCTGTGGGTGCAAGTGGGGTGGTGTGGTGGCATCAGCTGGCATAGGCCAGACAATGCCCGCACTGCCCCCTCACCACAGCCATGGAATACACCTCATCAACACACCACACTATATTGGAGCAGGCGGAGGGAGACAAGGGGTCTTAGCACACCTCTGTTGTTGCTTGGCTTCCTGGGGCTGGAGGCTAAGAGGGAGATCTGGCCATCTGGTTGGGGTCTGGGGTGGTGGGTTGCTGTGCTCAGCGTTGGACAGGGGGGCCTGCTCATCAGCACCCCAGCAGAAAAGGTCAAACTCTGGTAACCGGTAATGGTTGTACCCCATGTGCAGCAGTACCGGGACCAGAGTGAATAGGGTGTGTATGGGGATTATGAGTGGGTGTCCGGCATGCATTTTTGTAAGTCTTTGGTTGTATGTGCATGTGTGAGCATGAGGGAGTGTGTGACTGTGTTTGTGTATGACTGTATATGTCAGGTGGGGCCTTTGACTCCTCTCTTCTCCTGGGACTTCTTTTGGTAATATAGATCTTCATCTCCCCTCCCCCTGCCACACCTGGTGTGGGGTGTGGTGCCTTGGTCTGCCTGAGTGTTCGTGGCTCCCGGGTCAGGGGGTTTAAGATTTTTGGCGTCTGCCTGATCAATCCCGGTGGCTGTCTGGTGGGGTCTGTGTCCCTGGGCTCTGCTGGGTCCCCGGCGGGGGTGGTCGCCCCTGGGTCCCAGGTCGCTGGGTCCCGGGCTCGGCCGGCTAGGGGGTGGGAGGCTGCGGGCGGGCCTTCGGGCTTGCCGCTGATATCTCCCGGGACTCTGCAAACAAGATGCCCAAGCAAACAAATGGAGATGAGATGGAAAAAATATCTGTTGTTAATATCGGCCCAGTTTTATTTGTCAAACCAATAGCGATGTGTTAAAAAATGACTAACATCGGCCGATATTGAAGCCGATCTATTGCCCATCCCTACTCATAACTTTTACTAATTAATATGGCTACTTGAGTAACTTACCAAGTGTTGATTTGCTCCAGTAAGATGTTTGAGCTGAAGGGGGCTGTAGTAGCTGGGAGCGAGCTCGTGTTTTACCGCTCAGGCGATGCGGAGCCGCCGGGGAAGCGCAGATCAACTCTGGACTGGATGAGAATGTTTGACATAACACCGGAGCACAAAGGTGTGGGTTTCGACAATAGAAGGAGGGGAGAGAAACACAGAGGGAACGGACTGATGGTAGTTTTTTAGCAAAACTGTGTGTATTAAAACACCCACACCCCCCACATTTTTCTCCATGATTGTGTGTGTTCGCTGTTAAAGACGAGCGTTCGGCTGCCACCTGTGCTGCTCGTGGCGTCTCTAAAGGTAGTCGTGTTTTGTGTTTACAGGTTGTAAAGCTTTCTGAAATTGTGTCTTTGGCTAAAGAGGCTCAAGTGGACATCACCTTCCAGCTGCCGATCTAAAAAAGCTGCTACCTCCTCCGTCTCCCAGAAGCCCCTCAGCGTCCCATGACTCCACTCCTCTCACCGACAGGACTGACCTCGCAGAGACACTCCTACATTCTTCTGGCTTTGTGGCACGGTGGCATGGTTCTGGAGAGTTTTCATTAATGAACAACCTGCTTATTTTTCTGATTGTGTTTGCTGTCTCAACCCCACTTTAAAGTCAGTCCTGCAGTGGTGTTGCATGTCAGTTTATATGCTCAAACCCACAACCTTAAACTCCACTCGCTTCGTCTCTGAGAGGCTGACTTGCAGCCTGCTCATGTCGTCTTTCACACACACACACACACACACACACACACACACACACACACACACACACACACACACACACACACACACACACACACACACACACACACACACGCACACGCGCACACTTCATTTATGTGTTGTAAGATGATTCTGTAGTTGGTAACAAGCAAACGTCCTGCCAGTGATTGGTTGGAGGTCGAACAGCAGTTTCCTCCTGGCAGCCCCAGGGTGGTTTCTGTCTCTGCTCCAGGTGGGACTGTTCATCCATCATTTATCTCATCCCAGCCTGGAAGAGGTGTGAGAGGCTGCAGGCTCACTGTGGAGGTCTTAGATGCTACCGGCTCTGCTGGGTTGGTCTGACTCAACAGTTTACCTTCAGCTTTAAGCAGGTCAGAGTGTGGAGCATTTGCTGTGGCGGCCGTAGACGCCGACAGTTCTGCTGAGACGTTTGTGGACCTCAGCTTCAGCCACCATGAGTACTGAAACATCCAAGTACGTGTTTGAACTTTTGAATGAAGTCAGCTGTTCCATTAGCAGTGACGAACTTTAACCCGTCAGTTCAGGACAACCAAGTACATAAAACATCCTGTTCTAATACACGTCACTAACAGTTTTTACGGCCTGAAGGTTTAAAACTCAATCCAACAGTAACAGAAAACGGATCCCAAAAACTGGTTTAGTGTGTTTTATGGTGACGTAAGTATTCAGTTACGTCTCAATGTCATCCTAATTTTGTGGAGCCTTAAATGAACCTGATAAAATGTCTTTTACAGGCTTTAAAAATCCTTTATGTAAGTTTTACAAGTAAACCCACCCACATCCAGACAGCAACAACAGATATCAGCTCACACTGATGCTGGACCGGGACAAATCACCCTGTCAGGAGTTTTTAATCCACTGAGAGTGGATCGGAACAACATTTGCCTGGGATGATGCAGCAAATGGAGCGTTTACTGCTGGATGAATGAATCTGCTCATGCTCCCTCTGCCGTCGTGCCACTGAGCTGCAGCCACTTTATTTTAGTTTTCCTGGTTTGTAGGGTCAGAACCCCCCCCCCCCCCCCCCCCAAAACACCACCACCATTTCCAACACAAGCAGACGATGTGAGATTTACGTCGTTTATTTTATCTTGTAAATAAACAACAATGTTCTTGCTCTGTAACATATTTATGATCCTCGGAAAGGTTCAACATCTAAGTCTTGAATAAATGCAGAGAACATCGACTTTTCTGTTTGCTGTTTTTTGTCTCAAACACGTTTATGGAGCAGGGAGAACTCCACCTGTCAAAAGTGAGGCCAAGGCGAGGCAGAGGATAGCAGAGTCGCTCAATCACGGTTTTCTGGCTAAGTTAGCTTCGGTAGCTCCGTTAGCTTAAAGCTACATCAGCTCAGAGTTTTATTGATGTCAATCATGTGTCCCCACCCTAACAACCCCGCTCTCTCAGCTCCATTTTTTAATTTTCCAGGAGTGACGAGATGGTGTGACAGCCTAGATGGTGGTGGCCTGAACTGCCCACTGGGCTCTTATTCAGCTCTTCAGAAACCTACAGGTGATTTGGAGGATTTGTCCTTAATTTATATACAGTCAACGAGCAGAACGCTAGAATGTTCCAGTAAAAATCAGTCAAGACGTTTGCTCTCAGTTCTTTATGCCGACGTTTCCCACTCCATGGTCACCTCTCATCACACTTAGGCAGGAAACCAGGGAAAGGCCTCACACCCGATTAAAGGATGGCCCCCTCTATGAGGGCATCACAGCTCAGCAGAACAGCTTCTTCTGGGGAGAAAAACACTTAGAGAAAAAATAAAGTTAACAGCTGAAATAGCAGGAAATAATACAGTTAAAGAGCAGATTGTAGAAGAAAGTAGTAGAGTGTGGAAAGTGATCGGTATGTCCTCCAGCAGTCTAAGCCTATAGCAGCATAACTACAGAGATAACTTAGGCAGGCACTCAAATTTGGGCACCAAAAAAAGAAAGTAACTGAATATTTAGTAGATCCTCTTGCAGAAATAACAGCCTCTAAACCAGGGGTCCTCAATTATAATGGTCCAAGGGCCACTCACAAAAAAGACCCAGAAGCAAGAGGTCCGGATGGGGGGTACCGCTGTTTGGATTGCTGGCTGTAATGCACATAACACACAAGCTTGCAATATAAAGAAGGACAACACCTGTCCCCCTCCAGCTCGGCTGTGTGACTGCACTAACCTGTCCTGCGTGACCCTCACCATGTGACCCTCATGTCCATGCTGTCTCTGGAGGAGCAGATTGGAAACACAATCTCCTGTAACTTAAAATTAACCAAAGCTTCCTCCCAGTTTGTCTTTAAGCTGAATTTAACATCAGTTTATCATCATGAAGCAAAAGCATAAAGTGGAACAAGAACTTCTATTTCTCTCTCTCAGTCGCTGATCGAGCGAGCGGAGCGCACCGCGCGACAACCCACTCAACATAATTTACGGCCCAAGTCCAACAGAACCGGTCGGGCTGATTCGGTTCGGGTTTGGTCTCAGGTTACAACTTCAGCGCTCAGTCCTACAGCACCACATAAAGGCGGACCAAAGTTTCCTACCCGGTAAATGTGGAGAACATCGCTCTGACAGATTTGGATGCTGCGCTGGTGCCGCCGTTAAAATAACAAAACTACATTCCACTATAATTGATTATGGTTCTCTTCTACATGCAGAGTCGTTTATGCCCACATCTCCATGCATCAATTATTTGATCATTTTCCTCCGCTCTATCTATCCTACACCTCCCAGTCAGCGGGTGGGGGTGGGGGGCCATTAAGAGAGGGCCCGCAGGCTGCCTATTGAGTGCCGAGTCAACCCGAGTGGGAAGACCGAACTGGGCGAAGATGTGATTCTTCAAGAGAATAGCTGTTGTTTGTGCCGTGTCACCACTCAACAGAGACAGCTGTCTGTGTTTTTATTGAAAAGGCTAAATCATACTTGGACAGAAATACTTGCGTTGCTGCTGTTTTTATAGATTTTAAAAGAGCATTTGGCACAGTGAACCATTTTAAACTCATCTTTAGACTTGAAGCATTTAATTTTATGGCTCACACAATTAAATGGCTCCAATCATATCTGTCTGACAGAAGGCAATGTGTATAGGTAGGTGACAGTAAGTCACCATACCTTTATCCTTCAGCAGGTGTCCCCCAAGGGTCAATTTTGGGACCATTACTGTTTTCACTCAATGTTAATGACTTGCCAAACATATGTCGAAATGTACATACCGTTATGTATGCCGATGACACAGTCGTTTTTACACACTCCAAAAGTCCTCAAGAGGCAGCTCAACAGCTTTCAACTGCTTTAAAGACCTCCAGACATGGCTAGAGGACTTGTGTCTTTGTCTCAACATCAAGAAAACTGTGTGCATGTTCTTCTCCAAACCAACATCAGACTGACACCAGCAAAGGTGGATCTGAAAGGAGAAGAAATACAAAATGTTGAACAAATCAAATACCTTGGGGTATAGTTGGACTCAAAATGATCGTTTAGAAAACGTGCAGAATATTGTCAAAACTGTAAATTATAATTTGCGTAATTTTAAACATGTAAGAGCGTCCCCGACAGATGAAGCAGCAGGCACAATTTTACTTTCAATGGTACTGTCTCACATTGGCTATTGCATCACCAGCTGGTCATTACTGCCTCTTCTGTTATCAGACCTGTTGAGTCCTGCTATAAAAGGGCAACGAAAATCCTGGTCAAGAAGCCAATGTGGCATCATCACGGTCTGATTCTGGATAAATATTCTCTACTGAGTTTCCAAAATTTTAAACATTTTAAATCTGCTTGCCGGGTCTATAAAGTTATTCATGGTCTAGCCCCTCCAACACTGAACAATTTTATCATTACAAAAACACATAGGGACGCTTCCCGAGTAACTCGAGCTACAGTTAGAGGTGACTGTGAGCTCCCGCTTAGGCAAACTGCATTTCCTCAAAATGTTCTGTCATTCCAGGGCTCGACTTTTTGGAACAGCATTCCAACTCAAGAGAGAGAAAGCTCAAGTTTTGTTAATTTCAAAAGACAATTGAAATGGTGGCTACAGGAAACTCAAAGATGCTATCATAGATGACACTTTTATTTGTTTTTACTCTTGTCTTTTTTGTAAAATATGTTCCTAACAGTTTTTTCTTTTTCTAAATGTATATTGTTGTCTGTCTTATCTCTTTTAACATTAACTTGCCAGAGGACTGCAGATGGAAATTAGCCTAAGGCTACAATCTGGTGTATTTCCATTTGTATTGCTGTTCATAAATATGCATATTCCTCTCTTTAAAGGGGCATTATGGAAGTTTGACAGCCAAAACATGTATAGAAATAATAAATTTCTTCTTCATACGTTCTCCTGCAATGCCCTGGTCCTGTAGAATGAGCCCTGGCATTTTTACTGTGATTGCCTGTTTTTCTGTAAAATCACAGAAAAAGAGAGCTGCTCGGGTCGAGCAGGCTGCTTCATGTGCGTTCACGCTCAGGCATAGCCCGTAGCATTTGCTATCCGTAGCTTTAGCAGCAGAGAGAGAGGCAGTGCCAACTCAGCGACTTTGTCGCTGTTCCTAACGCCTAGTGATGAACCTAGCTACATTTCTGAGGACCCATAGCTACTTTCTGTAGAACTTTCTTCTAGATATTGCAAATTAGCAACAAAATAGCCATTTTCGCTCCGAACTGTTCTTTGAATGTTGTTTCAGCTGTCATCAAGGATATAAATGTTGCAGAGGGTTGAGGTAGCAGTAGCTCAACAGGTTGAGCGGGTTGTCCAGTAATCGGAAGGTTGCAGGTTCGATCCCGGCTCCGGACAGAGAATTCTGCTGTTGTGTCCTTGGGCAAGACACTTAACCCACCTTGCCTGCTGGTGGTGGTCAGAGGGAACGGTGTCGCCTGTGCTCGGCAGCCTCTCCTCTGTCAGTGAGCCCTAGGGTAGCTGTAGCTACATCCTAGCTCATCCTCACCAGTGTGTGAATGTGTGTGTGAATGGATGAATGATACACTGTAGTGTAAAGCACTATAGAGTCCTTACTCTGAGAGGTGCTATACAAGTGCAGGTCATTTATCATTTACAGATACAAAAAATGTCACTGGTGCTTTAGCTCACCCAGTAAGATGTTGGAGTCCCGTGTAGACGAAGTGGGTACGTGGATTCTGTGATTCTGTGAATATGGTTTCTTTAGACTTTTTTTTTACATTAATGGTATATTTTTTTTACAGTAAGATGCCCAAATTTTTATTTGAGACTCGCCGAACGGCATTGAATTCACAGATAAAAAATATGTGGGTTCAACTTTCATTTTGGAACAATTTTTCAAGCAAGGGAAGGGAATGATCTGAGCATGCAGGAGGACTGACCCATCATAAACCTTCGTCGGCTGTGCTGAAGAGAAAGGTACAGAACCAATTTATTTAATTAATTAGCTGCACGTTCTCCTGTCCTCTGTCCTCTGGGCCACACACACACACACACACACACACACACACACACACACACACACACACACACACACACACACACACACACACACACACACACACACACACACACACACACACACACACACACACACACACACACACAAGGGACTGTCTCAGCTGTTATTTTCGTTAAGGAGTGTGCACGTACAGCATGCGCGGCTCATGCACGAGCCTACTATTGAGGCTGCCGTTACGGTTTTGGCCTGAGGGGGCAATCACGAGCATAAAATTCAAAACTCCGTAAAGTCCCTTTAAAAAAAGAAATAAAAAAAATGTCTTGCCCAAAGACACAACAGTGACAGACTGGGCAAGGGTCGAACCTGCAACCTTCCAATTATGGGGCAAGCACTTAACTCCTGTGCTACTGTCGCCCCAATGACCCTTTACACTACCGCCCTTTGTGGCCAGAATACCACGTTTGCAACTTCAGAGTTGCAGGTCCAGTCTTTTGGACTTTGAAAACAATTGAGCTGACATCCCTGGCACTGTAGTCTGCTTCCAGCATATTTCCTGCATGTTTTAGATCACGAACACTGCTGACTTATTTCATTTAATGATGAATCGCTCCTGTAGACACTAAGGAAGTCTGGGAGATGTTTCTGCTGTTAGATTTAGGTGGTAAAAAGATGAACCTACAGCAAGAAGATAAGTTTTGCTTTTGATTCTACTAAACAGACACTAGGGGGTGCTAAAAGCAAGCCAAAACTGTCTAGTCTCCCTTTAATTAAATTTAATTTTTT